CCTCCAGCATGCTTCGAAAAAAAAAGTTGATGTGAGAGATGAGTGGCGATTGGCGATGGTAGCGCATGGCACTGGGGCGGCTTGCGCTCATACTAGAGTCGTTAGGGGGATAGAGTAGAATGCATTCATACACATGCCCGCGTCCGTCGTCCCCGCCTGCTAGCTCGCTGCCCTAGTGCTGTGTGCTACCATCGCCTCCCCTTTCACTACGTCACCGTGCCACATGCTTTCTATCTTATGCTTTTGTTTCCGTTACTCATTCGTTCTTGTTATCTCTGCCTCCTTGCATGCGTTTCTATACTTCTTGCTTCTACTGACTACTTGGCTTCCTTTCCCCCACTCGCTCCTCTTGCCCTCCTTTGCTCCACCCCTCTCGTCAGTGCTATGGCAGCGTGGTGCGGAAAGGCGAGGGCGGTGGGATGACGCACGGCGGGCAGTCACAGCGGTGTGCTAGCCTCCTGGAAGCCTGACGCCACTGTCCTGCAAGCACCCCCATACGGCTAAGTCCTCTGCCCTAGCCATCCGTGCCGCTTCTGCTTCGTGTTTATTACTGCCCTGATTTGTTCAGCGTCTTTTCCTCACTGCATGTTTGAAAATACGAAATGAGAGACGTGAGACCGAGCGTCAAACGTTGAGTGAGAGAATGAGCGGCGATTTTGGCGATGGTAGCGCATGGCACTGGGGCGGCTTGCGCTCATACTAGAGTCCTAGAGGGATAGAGTAGAATGCATTCATACACATGCCCGCGTCCGTCGTCCCAATTGCCTGCTAGCTCGCTGCCCTAGTGCTGTGTGCTTACCATCGCCTCCCCTTTCACTGTGTCACCATGCCACATGCTTTCTATCTTATGCTTTTGTTTCCGTTACTCATTCGTTCTTGTTATCTCTGCCCTCCTTGCTTGCGTTTCTATACTTTCTTGCTTCTATTGACTACTTGGCTTCCTTTCCCCCGCTTGCTCCTCTTGCCCTCCTTTGTTCCACCCCTCTCGTCCAGTGCTATGGCAGCGTGGTGCGGAAAGGGAGGGCGGTGGGATGACGCACGGCAGGCAGTCACAGCGGTGTGCGAGCCTCCTGGAAGCCTGATGCCACTGTCCTGCAAGCACCCCCATACCGCTAAGTTCCCTGCCCTAGCCATCCTTAACTCTTCTGCTTCGTGTTTATTACTGCCATGATTTGTTTCAGCGTCTTTTCCTCACTGCATGTTTGAAAATACGAAATGAGAGACGTGAGACGAGCGTCAAACGTTTGAGTGAGAGATGAGCGGCGATTTGGCGATGGTAGCGCATGGCACTGGGGCGGCTTGCTCTCATACTAGAGTCCTAGAGGGATAGAGTAGAATGCATTCATACACATGCCCGCGTCCGTCGTCCCAATTGCCTGCTAGCTCGCTGCCCTAGTGCTGTGTGCTACCATCGCCTCTCTGTTTTTACTGCATTCTGCAAAATTGTTTTCTCTTCTCTGTATTTTTGTTCTCCAGTTTTCCCTGCCTTGTTCATTTGTCGCTTGCAAATCCTTTTCCACTGCTGCTTTCTCCGTCCTTGGACTTACTTCGTGCATCCCGTGTCCATGTCCCTATCCCTATCCTCAACTCTATCGCTTGTTCCAGGCCAAGGAGTGCGAGCAGCAAGGGGCGGCAGAGGCAGCCTCTGGAAAAAAGTACTGCTGAGAGGGGTGTTGCTTCGAGGGTGCTGCTGCAAGTGCATCCTTTGGGTCCAAGACGGGAGGAGCAGCGCCTTGGACCCATCTTCTCCACCCAACTTCTGAGAGGGGTGTTGCTGCGAGGGGTGCTGCTGCAAGTGCACCCATCTTCTCCACGCGCCTGCTGCCCTCCTCCCTCCGCCCCTCGTTCCTCCTCCAGCTGCTTCCCCAGGTGATAGCTTCCCAACCTTACACTTCACCGAGCGAAGCTCCACTCGACAGTTTTGCTCTCTCGTTTCTCACTCATGCTTTTGTCCAGATAAATCTGCTGTTGGCGAATTTTGCCTTTCATTCTCTAACTCACTCCCTTTCTCTGCCTCTTTCACCTGTCCCTCTGCGCTTCCGTTCTTTTTCTCAACAGCAAGAATGCAATGGGTTTAGGAAGGTGCGAGTGCTGCTGGTGATGCTACTGCTGGTGCTGATAGTGCTGGCAGTGCTGCTGATGGTGCTGGTCATGCAACACTGGCTGATGAAGCTCCCTCTGTCTGGCCTTACCTGTCTGGTGAGATCTCCCTCTGTCTGGCCTTTCCTCTCCACTACGGTTTCATCTTTCTTTCTGTTTATCTCCCCATGTGCTTCCTTTTCCTGTCTCTCTTTCACTTATATCCCCCCCGTCCAGTCAGCTTTGTATGAATGCGCCTTCAACCTTCTCTCTTTCCAAATTTTCCTCCTTGTCACTGTTTCAGAACCTGTCTCCCTTCCACTAGGCGAGTACAGCAAGGTGAGACAGCTAAGGGGCGCTGAAGGGAACGCAATTGGAAGACACGATGTGGTGAGCTTAGTTCAGTACTGCTCGTCACTTAAGTCTCCCTTGTCAGAGGGAGCAACAGTCAAGTGGCATTCTCATGTTGCATGCTCAGATCCCCTCGCCTAGCCAGCCCTCTCTCTTTCTTATTTGAACGTCATCGATGCTCCTCTCATGCCGTCCCTCATCTCCTCGAAGCTCTATGCTCCGACCACTTTTGCTTCCTTCCCCTCCGTTTCTTCCTTCCCCTCCGCTTCTTCACACCACTTTCTCTCCTCTCATACCCTCTGACGAACATGCACGGCAATGGTGGCATGGGATGGACTACAGACGAGGTCAAGTCAATCGGGCCGTCTCCTTATGGTATTTCTGCTCACTCAACCCTCTTCTCCTCTGCCTCCAACTTTTCTTTGTCGGCCTCTCTCTTGCATCTCCTCTCCCTTTTTGACCTTCAGATGCCTTATTTCTCGGTTCTTCCTCTCCTCTTTGTTCACATGCCTTTTTCCCTCGTGTGTCCTCTTTCAGGTCTGATCAGTGGGTGGAGCTACATTCTGGCAGCAGCAGTGGAGCACGAGTGTGCACAAGAATAGCACATGCTTTGAGGACTTCACTTATGGTGAGTTTTCTGCACCCACCCTTTTTCTTCTGCACCACTCTTGCATGACGCACCAATACCCCTTCCATCCCCACACTTCCTGTCCATGACTCACAGTCCTTTGCATTCATACCATTTTCTCTCTGTGCCCGGCAAAACAATTTCGCTGTGACTGATTGGTTAACAGAATGGAACCACAAGCTTCTCCTTACCCTTCCACATGCTCAATCTTCTCTCTCGCTGCTTCATTAATCATGTGCCCTTCTCTCTCGTGCTGCTTAGTTTCTCATGCTTCTCTCTCTCTCGCTGCTTCTGTTTGGCTGTGTTGCTTTGCTGACATGACAGGATCTTACGAGCGAGGTGGGGATTGCGATTCCTTGCGGGGAGAGGCCAGCTGGTGACGAGCTGATCGGTGTCTGTGAAGGTGAGCATCAAACAACCAAGCACAGACTGAGCTCCAGAAACAGCATGTCGATTCATATTTTATCATGTACCCGAATGAGACAACACCTATCGTTTCATGTCATACCTGATTCTACAATGTCATATCGTTTCATTGTCTCCTCCTCTCGTCTGCTTTCAGTACAGCCGAAGCAGCTCCAATTGGAAGTCAAGACAGATGAAGAAGAAGATGAAGACCACATATGCTAGAGCTGCAGCGGATAGGATAGGAAAGGTTATCTAGATTAGTAACACTCTCAGGTATGGTACCCCCCCCCCCCTCTCCCCCTGCGTAGCACCCCCCCCCACACCTCTCTTCCCCTGTCCCTTCCCGACCCCCTCCCCCTCTGCCTCAAATTGCCCCTCCGCGTGCCTCCCCCTGCAACCCACCTCCTCGTGCGACCTCCCTCCCCATGGGACCCACCCACCTCAGCAACCACAGGGCCTAGCGACAGGGCTAACCACAGGGCTAACCACAGGGCTAACTACAGGGCTAACTACAGGGCTACCGTAACTACAGGGCTAACTACGGGGCTAACCACAGGGCTAATTACAGGGCTAACTACAGGGCTTACCACAGGGCTGATCACAGGGTTAACCACAAGGCTAATCACAGGGCTGACCACAGGTCTAAGCACAAGGCTAATCATGGGGCCGACCACAGGACTTGTGCCTCGTGGCAGACTAATCACAGAGCCTTTGGGTCGAAGCATTCTAACAGGATACATTGAAACACTACTCACAAAGCTTAGGCACACACAAATCACAGGACTTATGCCCCTGGCACAGAAGTCACAGAGCTTGTGCCTTGGAGCGCACAAATTACAGGCCTGTTCGTGGAAACACACCATTTAGTTACAGTGATTGCGTGCGCACAACCGCTACAAACAGAGCTTGAACAACATGCCACCCTTGTTACGGTGCATGCTATGCTAGTGCATAAAAATCACGTTTCTTGACAACCTTCCAATAACGCCCATCAACTGACACTGGTAATGGCATACAACAGTAGGGCATCATAAAGTTCTAGCTTGTGCAAACTCTGATTGCCTTTCCTTGCGGAGCTAGGAATGCCAGCAGAGCAGGTCACTTTGCATGATTCATAACATGGTACAATGCTTACCACAGTTGCTTCAGCAACGTGTACAAGGTACGGTAGTTCGCAAGAGGAAACTGTGCAGGTGTAGGTGATGGTTAATATCGTACCGTATTAATGTTACAAAATCTAGAACATTGATGCTTTCAAGTCAGCTGTCAAAATATTTCCAACAAAACTACTGAAAATGGTACTATGGGCATATATTGTGCCATGTACTGAAATTCCTGAGACAAAAACATTTGATCAATTTATGGTCAATAAGTACCGTAACAAGTGCTGCTAGTTTGCGCACACGCAGGCTGCTTATACAGTTACGGAAGGAAACCAAAGCATCCTTGGGCCTTCAAACTCACTGTAACCCCTTCACTCCCACTCTACCCCCTTCTCATTCTCGGATCCCTTCTCTCTGCCACACTCCCCTTCTCACTCCTCCCTCCTGCTCTCCTCTCCCCTTCCACCCCTCCCCTTCCCTCCGCCTCTCCATCCATAACCCTCTTTCTCACTCCTATCCCCCCTCTCACCATCACCTCCCACTCCTCCGCTGCTTTGGCCTGAGCCAAAGCTCCGACGCTGGTCATTTGGACCTGCTCTAGCCGAACCTCGCCCCGAACCTCCGCCCGAGGTTGCACCTCGGCCACCAGAAGCACCTGCGTTCCTAGCAATCCTCGGATCATTGCTCTTAATGTTACCACCCACAGGGTTACCACCAGAATTCATGGCTCGCTGTCCTTCTCCCACACCCGCTTTTCCTCTGGTTCCCCCACTTGTCCCTTCTAGCTCTCCCACCCCTCGCCCTCCTCCTCCTCTTCCGCCTCCTCCTCCTGTTCCGGTTCCCTCTCTTCCTCTCGACACCTGTGTCCCTACTTGACCCCCACTCCTCTTCCCTCCTTTCTCCTCCTTTTCCTCTTCGCTCTCCTCATCATCCTCATCAGAATCATCATCTTCATCATCAGAATCATCCTCATCATCGTCGTCATCATCTGAATCCTCCTCTTCCTCCTCCTCTTCTTTCTTCTGGCTCGCTCGTTTGTTCCCTGCCTGACGTGTGCCTGTATTTCCCCCATTACCCCCATTACCCCCACTTCCTCCCCCACCGCCACCATCACCCATATGCATGCCCATGCCATACCCATTTGAACCCATACCAACAGCCCCACCACCCATATTCATGCCCATACCCATACCGCCCATACCCCCCATTCCACCCATACCCCCCATATCCCCCCATCCCCATTCCTCCCATTCCCATGCCCATGTGCATGCCCATTCCGCCCATCCCACCCATCCCTCCGCCCATCCCTCCGCCCATCCCTCCGCCCATCCCTGCCCCCATCCCTCCGCCCATCCCTCCGCCCATGCCCCCCCGCCCCTGCGCCTGAGCTTGCTGCTCCATCAGTCTCTTCTTCTCTGCTTCCCGTGCCGTGGCCTGGAGGGGGGGGGGGGGGAGAAGAGGGCGAATGGTGGAGAAGGGGAGAGAGAGGGCGTCAACACAACAAGAGGCATACCAGCAAGGCACTGCCTGAGCTTGCTGCTCCATCAGCCTCTTCTTCTCTGCTTCCCGTGCCGTGGCCTGGAGGGGGGGGGGGAGAAGAGGGCGAATGGTGGAGAAGGGGAGAGAGAGGGCGTCAACACAACAAGAGGCATACCAGCAAGGCACTGCCTGAGCTTGCTGCTCCATCAGCCTCTTCTTCTCTGCTTCCCGTGCCGTGGCCTGGGGTGGGGGGGGGGAGAGAAGTGGGGAGCGAGGGGAGGGCGAAAAAAGAGTAACTTTGAGGGGTGAGAGGGCGGGTGAGAGGCAGAGGACGGCTGAGAGGAGGGGTAAAAAAAGAGGCAGAAGAAAGGGGACAGAGAGCGCCCAGCAGCATACCAGCAAAGGAGCGTCTGGCTCGCGGTACAGCAGTGCAGTCAGCTGCTCGCCTGCTGATGGCTCCACCTCCTGGCAGTCCCGGCTGATCTTCACGGGCTGGTTGTCGTTGTACTGGTTGCGCAGGTGGCGTGTCTTGTTGAACGAGAGCTCGCAGAGCTGGTACGTGGAGGGGAAAGTGGGGGAAATGACGCAGAGAGCAGAGGAGTAACAGGGGATGGAGAAACAGCCCTATCAAGATTTGATCGTCGCTGCACTGTTTGCGCAGATGGCGTGTGGCCTCCTTTGTGCTTACTCAGTGCACCCCAATTTCCCCTCTCTCTCCCTCCTCACCCCATCGAATGCGGAAGTTCTACCCATAGTTGCCTCCGCTGAGCATACTCAGTGTAACCCCCATTACACTCTCCCCTCTTCAATCTCCTCCCCTCCCCTCTCCCCTCCCCCCTCACCTTAAGCCATCGGATACGAAAGTTTTGACCATAGCTGCCCATCCTCTGAGCATACTTCCACGGCCCTCCCCCCACCACGGCCCCTATGCGTGACATCATTAGAGCACAGCCCTGCACGCATGGAAGAAAGAGTGTGGGGAGGGGAGGGAGAGTGAGGAGTGTGGAAAGGGGAGTGAGAATAGGCCCTAGGCGAGACGACATACTCGATCTTCAACGGTCCTCCCCCCACCACCGCTCATATGCGCGACATCATCAATACACAGCCCTGCACGTGTGGAAAGAGGGTGTGGGTAGGGGAGTGAGAGAGTGAGGGTGAGGAGTGTGGAGGGGGGTGAGAGTGAGGGTGAGGAGTGTGGAGGGGGGTGAGAGTGAGCACTAGAAGGCCAAGAAAACGTTGTCACACTACTCGTCGTACTCCGCATTCAGCTTTAACCAGCTCTGCACCCCCTAGCCCTCCCCACCTGCAAGTGCCACCTGTGCTGTGCTTTGTCCTCTCACCTGGAAGTGCCTCGTCTCATTCACGGAGAAGATCAGAATAACGCTGTCACACGACTCGTACGCCTCGTTCAGCTTCCCCTCGTTGTTGCGGTGCGTCGCCCACATACCCCTCTGTGCTGACAGCTCCAGATTTTCCAGATTATTGCTCTTCACTATGAAGTACCTGCAGGGGTAGGGGTGGGAAGGAGGGTGGAGAGGGAGGGAGGGGAAGGGGGAGGTTGTTGGAGGGGCTACTGGTTCAGTCGCCCACATGCCCCTCTGCGCCGACAGCTCTAGATTCTCCACATTGTTGCTCTTCACTATGAAGTACCTGAAAGGGGGGAAATTGCAAAACATGTCTAAGAACCACCAAGGCAGAAAGCATCACCGAGACAAAGAAAGCACCCCCAAGGTGGGCGTTCCCTCCCTCTCTCCCCTCCCACACACACACCTGGTTGTGAGACATATCAAAACCAATATTTTTATCACAACACCCCCAAGTGGGTGCACTGCTCCCACACACACACCTGGTTGTGAGACATATCAAAACCAATATTTTTATCACAACACCCCCAAGTGGGTGCACTGCTCCCACACACACACCTGGTTGTGAGACATATCAAAACCAATATTTTTATCACAACACCCCCAAGTGGGTGCACTGCTCCCACACACACACCTGGTTGTGAGACATATCAAAACCAGTATTTTTATCACAACACCCCCAAGTGGGTGCACTGCTCCCACACACACACCTGGTTGTGAGACATATCAAAACCAATATTTTTATCACAACACCCCCAAGTGGGTGCACTGCTCCCACACACACACCTGGTTGTGAGACATATCAAAACCAATATTTTTATCACAACACCCCCAAGTGGGTGCACTGCTCCACACACACACCTGGTTGTGAGACATATCAAAACCAATATTTTTATCACAACACCCCCAAGTGGGTGCACTGCTCCCACACACACACCTGGTTGTGAGACATATCAAAACCAATATTTTTATCACAACACCCCCAAGTGGGTGCACTGCTCCCACACACACACCTGGTTGTGAGACATATCAAAACCAATATTTTTATCACAACACCCCCAAGTGGGTGCACTGCTCCCACACACACACCTGGTTGTGAGACATATCAAAACCAATATTTTTATCACAACACCCCCAAGTGGGTGCACTGCTCCCACACACACACCTGGTTCTGCCCCCGGTGGCGGGAAAATGGCGAGGCCCATGGGCGGAGAGGGCGCCATCGATGCAACGCCTGCTGCTGAGTAGCTGACATATTTGTCACTTAACACACACACAACACAACCACACACCAGCACACGCATGCAACGACACACGCACCTGGTTGTGCCGGGTGGTGGCGGGATGGCGAGACTCATGGGCGGAGATGGCGCCATTGCTGCTCCCATGCCTGCTGCTGACGCATCCCCCATCATCATCCCCCCTTCCCCGTGCATCCCTCCTGCTCCCCCGCCCATCCCCACTCCCCCCATCCCTCCCCCCATCCCTCCCCCTCCCCCCATCCCTCCTCCTGATTGACCCCCCATCCCTTGCTGTTGCTGCATATGCCCCTGATTTGGAGCATTTGCCTGATTTGGAACGTTTGCCTGATTTAGCATGTGCGCCGGCCCGCCTCCGCCCCCAAATCCTCCTCCACCACCATCACCACCACCACCCCCACCAGTAGCAGCAGCAGCACCACCTTCAGCAGTCCCCATACCGCCCATCCCACCCCCTGATTCTGCCCCGTCCCTTCCGTTCCCCACCCCATTGGCAACATCTCCCCCTCCCCCTCCCCCTCCCCCTCCGCCTCCGCCTCCGCCTCCCCCTCCCGCTGTGGGTGCGCCCTCTGCTCCCCCTTCGCCCGTGGTTCTACTCACCCCTTGCATCCCTCCTCCCCCTTGCTGCTGCTGTCCCCCCTGCTGCGCCTGCCCCCCCTGCCCCCCTTGCTGCCCCTGCTGCTGCCCTGTTTGCTGCGCTTGCTGATTCACAACTGAACCCCCTGCCCCTCCGCCCGCCCCCATTCCCCCTCCGCTTTGCCCCATTTCCCCCTCCGCTTTGCCCCATTCCCCCTCCGCCTGGCCCCATCCCCCCTCCGCCTGCGCCCATCCCCCCAGCAGGCCCTGCTCCCCCGCCTGCTTGCCCCATGTGCCCCCCTTGCCCCATCTCCCCTCCTCCCCCCATTCCCCCTCCCCCGCCTCCGCCCATACCCCCACCTGCTCCTCCCCCAGACCCCATATTCCCCCCTGGTCCCATTCCCCCTTGCCCCATGCCTTGCCCCATGCCTCCCCCCATGCCTCCCGCTACCCCCATCCCCCCTCCGCCATGTGCGCCCATCCCCCCGCCCCCCTGCTGCTCCACCCCCCCAGGTCCAGAAAAGAACCGCACAGGCTTGTTGCCTCCGCCCATTGACCCCCCATTCCCCATCCCCATTCCCCCCATGCCTCCTCCCATGCCTCCCCCCATGCCTCCGCCCATGCCTCCCCCCATGCCCCCTCCCCCGCCCCCCCATCCCCCCCGCGAAGTGGAAGGGCGGGCGCTGCTGCAGCTGCAGCTGAAACTTTTCAGCTAGGGCCTCCACAGGAGGGGGCGGGCCGGGCAGCTTTAAATGTCTGTAGCGGCAATCCGGGCCGTTCGGGCAGAATCCAAGCTTGTACCTGGGGCGGGGGACGGGTAAGGGGAAGGGGAGGGGGGAGCGCGGGAGGGGGTGGACTATGGGTGACAGGGATGAATGGTAAAGGATATTGTTAACAGCACAGAACACTGGATCACAATTTCGGTCAAATGAGCATATAACAAGAAGCAATTGAGGGCGCATGCAAGATGAGGCTATGAGCAGGGTAGAACAGGCAGGGCCTGTAAGGGGAAGCCAACTTGCTTGCAATGGAAACCGCAAGCAGAATTAGGATATGCACGAGAGGAAATGCAGGAATATTAACGATTCAATGCACGCAATCATTTGCACTGAATAGCCATGTGTGCGCCAAAGGCACGGGCAGAACAGTCTGAAAGATTCTGGCTGAAACGGACAGGAGGTGCAAAAGGAATGATTTTATTATTACCAGGAAGGAATATTGACAACAAATAATAGATGCATACGTTACAAAGAATCAATCGCAACAATCCCAACTCCTGCCTCGTCTGAACAGAAGCAGAGAGCACACACATATGGCCTAAATCCCGCGGATACCCTAAGCTGGTGCGCACCACAACATATATACAGAGATCTGAAAAGGCAAGACAACAGTCACAACCGTCGAAATCATCACGGATACTGCTGAGTTTACTGAAGCACCTTCACAACAGGCGCAATTGATCGTCATTTAACAAGTAAACCGTAACGTACATGTTACACTCCTTGACGTCTTCGTTGGTGTGTTTGTACACGCAGTCAAGCTCCCTGCACTCGCCCCACCGCGCAAAGTACCGGCAAACCGGCATGCGGCTCTTGTCGTACTGATGCAGAAACCCGCAGTCGTTGCCCTTCATGCACAGCCCGCGCAGCCAGTGCCGGCAAACGGTCTGCCGGTAATTCCGCCGGAAACCGGCAGGCGGCGGGCCTCCCCCGTGCCCCCCTCCCATGTCGTGTGCCTGCTGCTGATGTGGCGGCTGCTGCTGCTGCTGCTGTTGTTGCTGCTGATGCTGCTGACTTTGCGGGAATTGATGGTGTTGCTGCTGCTGCTGGTACGGGGGTTGCGGGTGCTGCGACGAACCCCCGCCGAACCCATCGGCCCGCGCGCCGAAATTGCCGCCGCCCGCTCCGCCGGCTGCGCCCGGGCCGGCGCTCGGCTCCGCGGATGCCGCCGCGCCGGGCGCGGAGGCGGGGACAGCGGTGCTGAAGGCGGGCGCGGACGGCGGAAGCGGGCCGGGGCCGAGCGTCTGCTCGAAGTCGAAATCCTCGAGAGCATCGTAGTCGTCCATTGCGACGCGTGGCGGAGATCGATGGTGATTACGAGGCCCAGCGGATTGAGACGATAACGAACACGGGGCTCTGATGATTCAGCGACGGAATCAGCGAGTTATCGGCGCGAATCGGTGTGGTGAAGCGAGGCCCTGAAACGTAACTAAGCGAGACTTCTCAGCCCGAGTCAAGCAACGTCAGCAGAGACACAGCGCTACGCCGTTCGCTCGCGTGCGGCACGGGATGCGGGCGACTGACCGCGCCGCAACAACGCGGGCGATCCCTGTGCTTCGAGCCTTCCTGGTATCAGCGAATCGAAACCCTAAAATCCGATCACTCTCCGCCCGCCACCAGCGATTCCCGCCAAAACGATCCGTTCCATAAGATGTTTCCGCCACTACGTCCCTCGTTACAGGCTGCGCTCAAGGCAATAATACATCTGATCGAGCTGCCTGCTACTAGTCGTCAGAACCACTACAGCTTGCAGATTTCCGACCCGAGTGCAGCAGGGACCGCCATAGCCAGAAGCGTGCAACGGAGTTCCATTCCAAGATGTGCTTCTGAAAATGGCTGACAGGGAAGCGAAGCATTTCTACAACCAGGAAGCAACCAGACGAGGGCATGCTTATACAGCGCCTCGTTTACGTGGACACTCAGCTGAAACTTGACAAATTAGTTCTGCACAGCTGCATATAACAATTAAGGTATTGCATTGCTTCGCACAATTTTGATCAATCGTAGCACAGACCAACATACAACAAATGCTATATATCAAGATCATCATCGGGGTCTTCATCCGAATCTGGGTATTCGTCATCCGAATCGCGCTCATAATGAATCAAACCACCACCTCCACCTTCGCTCCAATCGCCCGCAGTGCCTCCCACTGCAAGTTCCACCATACGAGCCGATACACCACCAACCGAAAACTCTCCATGAGCCTTTGCTGTTTCCTTGACGTGGCTTGGCGCAAGGCTCCTTCTCCCGTCGTATATCTTGATTGGGCCAGTTTCGCCTGAGGAATGGGCAAGGACAGTTAAGGGCGGAAATGACACCAACAGTCTTCAGAGTTATGACGGAATAGAGAAAAGAATAAGGAGAGGCAAGAATACAAGAAGAAACTAGTAACAAGAAACTCGAGCGCCAAAGTGGAGGGGCAGGGTTGGGCAGGGTTGGGCAGGTTTGGGCAGGGTTGGGCAGGTTTGGGCAGGGTTGGGAGAAGTTGCAACCAACCTCGGTGTTCATAAGGCAGCACCACTTTCTCTCTTGCAGCCCGTTCCTCCTCAGACAGCTCTAAGCGGAACGAGACCTGATGATGGGTGGGGGGAGCATGACACATGGTTGCAGAACATTCGTGAGAGTTTGACAAACTTTGCAGCGGAGAAGAAAGAGGAGCGCGGCGAAGGAGTCTCAGAGTTGCTGATGGGGAGGGTAACAGAGGGGGGGCGGGGACAGAGAGAATAAATAAAAATCCTCTGACCATGCAGAGAAATTACAGCATGCAAAGCATTTGGCATTCTCACCTCTGGCGCCCGATCTCCAATCGTCCTGATCGGCTCCACGCCTGCAGCCTCCCCTCTCCCTGTCGCCCCTCTGTGTGCCCCCTCTGCAGGCTGCTGCTCTGGCAGGGATACGTTTGCAGGAGGTACTTTAGAGGTGTCTCTCCTGCTGTCGCTAGCGACTGTGGGTTGAGGCGCGGTCTCAGGAGATTCACTGGGCGCGGTGGGTGGTTGCGGTGTGCGCACAAAACCCTTGGTCTGTGCGCTGATGTGCACTGCTCCTTGCCGGTCGAAATGAAACTCCTCAAGCTGCAGCGGATGTAAATGGAGGGAAGGAGAGAGGAACAGTCACACGTGATTCACAAGGGGAAAGTGGGCTGCTGCTGTGGTGTGCGCACAGAGCCCTTGGTCTGTACATCTATGTGCACTGCTCCTTGCCGGTCGAAATGAAACTCCTCAAGCTGCAGCGGAGGCGAGTGAACAGAGGGAAGGGGAGAGCAGAGAGAGGTTACAGGCCCTTGTGCCAGAGGTGGGCTGCCAAACTGACGGACGGACGGATAGACAGTCAGACACGCTTCGAAGACGCCACTGTTCTGGCTGGGGCAAACCAGACAGCCCACCTACCGCAGACCAGACAGCCAGACAGCGCCAAAGAGACAGACCTACCGCAGTTCGGAATTTCCCCGAAGCCCTCTTCTGCTGCAACACCAGTATCCCTCCCGGTAGCACGTGCCGCTCTCCCATACTTTCCACACCCATGCTGCCACCACTCTCGCTCCTGCCGCTGCTGCCCCTCCCACCGATATTACCAGTGCCAGCTGTGCTGCTGCTAGAGCTACTCATGCCAGAAGTGACAACTGAGTTTCCCGATGGGTGATGAGAAGAGGAGGGATGAGGGAGTGATGGAGAGGAGAGGAGGAGGGAGAGAGGGAGGAGGGAGTGGCCGGGATGTGGATCCAGGGAGAGGAGTGCGTGCGCCATGTGGCGCAAGGAGGAGGTGACAGCTGGCGGGGTGACGTCAGCATGGGAGAGGAGGAGGAGTCCTGAGACTGAGGCTGGAAGGGAGAGAGGGAGGGGAGAAAAGGAGTACAGATAACAGATTGTGCGAGGGAGCAATGGGCGGATTAGTGGATGAAGGAAGAGTACAATCCGTGGCAAGGCAGGGGAGGGAAACAAGCATGATGATGAAGATGCACATCAAAGAACGGACGTTATAACAGCTCCCTAATCGTGACATTATAGCAGCTCCCTGCACGCAACGTGCTCGAGCATGCCTCCCTGATGATCCGTTCCTCCCTCCCACCCCCCCTTACCATGCCACTGCAGTCGTGCGATCATGGCGAGCAGGGCTGCTGGCGTGTTGTGGCGCAGGAAGGGGTCCAGCTGATGGCATGGCAGGCAGAGGGAATGGTGGGATGGCATGGCATGGTATGGAGAGCGAATGGTGGGATGGCATGGCATGGTATGGAGAGAGAATGGTGGGATGGCATGGCATGGTATGGTATGGAGAGAGGGGAAATGCAGGGAGAGCGAGAATACAAGGAGAAGTGGGATTGAGGAAATCCGAGGGAGGGAGGGAAGAGAAACGAGTGAGGAACGCAAGAAAGAGCCGAAACGAGTGAGCAGCATCAGTGACGTACCTACTGAGTCTAGAATGAACTTAAGACGTCTCAAAAGCCGGCAAACGAATGGCATGGATGACGTACCTACCGAGTCTAGCAACACAATGGACGGAGGGCTCCCTTGCGCGCCTGTGTGTGATTCGGCGGCTTGCGGCTTGGCTGCCCTACTGGAGTGCAAGTGATGGACGTAGGGTGTGAGGACATGAGGGTGTGACAACATGTGGCTGTGAGGTCATCATGGTGTGAGGACATGGGGGCGCGTGAGGTCATCGGGGTGTGAGTATATGGGGGACGATGGAAGGGATGGTGATGGTTAAACAGATACTACATAAGGCCGCTTCGGAGGCATGGGAACTTACAGAATGCGCTGCTCAAGTGACTGCAGGTCCCACACGTTGCAGCAGCTGCTGACAATCGGATCCGCTGTGCTGCTGCCTGCACTGCCACTGCCTTCACTGTCGCCGCTGGGATTGACTGGGTGACTACAGGGCGACTGAAACGGCTGTCCCCATCCCATGGGGTCAGAGCAGCAGTTTATCAGTGTGCCATGGCACGCGCACAGGCCCCCCGCAGCGCCATGGACGGTGGTTATGGCGGTTGTGGCAGCGCGGGGTGAGGCCAAGACCAGCACTGCTCGGCTGGGAGGGGGTTGCGGGCAGAGAGGGGGGGAAGTGGAAGAGGGGGAATGGCGGGAATGGACACAAGATACGCACACAGACCCCACACACACACACTACACACACGCACGCATCACACACATTCTCACATAACACACACGCAAACGTCACGCGTGCAGACATTAACACACACCTTGCCTGTGCGCGATTGCAGTGGATCGCTCGAACCAGGGACTCAGTCATGTGGCGCAAGATCTGCCAGCCACCCAGAACGTGACACGTGTCGCTTAGCACCACCGTCGGTGCCTCCATGCCATCGATCCGTCCCTCCCGCAACAGACGCACCGCTGCGGCCGCCATGAGCTTGTGATCGACAATACAACTTCGCAATGACTGTAACAAGCTTATCGAAATGCTCCCGCTCCTTTGTGCCACCGATCCCGTGAACTACAGTAATTCGCGATTCTTGCAGCAATCCTCTAAGCTTGATAGCTAGTGTGTGTGTCCACCAGCCGTAAATCTGCTGTATCTCTCGTCCTAATCCTCAGTTCTTCGAGACGGAGCGATCCCCTAGGCTCCTGAAGTTAGAAGTCGCTAGTGCTGAAGCAGCAGCTTGAAACTAGATTCGACACGAGGAGCCATTTCTACGTTCACTCGGGGTCAGTCGTGAACGTCTCACCGTCCAGGGGTCATTTCTGCTCCTGACACCGAACGGGTGTTCCATCCTGCCCGAATTCATGGGGTCATTGCACGCTTCGCGACATTCCGCGACAGCCGTAACACCGAGTCGCAGATGGACCTGGGTTTCCTGGCTGACCCCACAAAAATGTTCGCGAGCATGTGCGACGAATTCACAAAACGACCTCTTCGCAAATCTTGTGTCAGGACCAGAATCTGAGCCAATCATGTTCAACCCTAGCCTCAAGCTCATATGGTCCCAAACCTGCCGTAGTTTGGGAAAGCGTGAGCCATGCATACAGCCCACGGCATCACGCCTCAGCCACGCATACAAACAGTCACATGCAAACCCAGGCACCAACCACTTTCTCGTCGCCTGGTCGCAACAGAAAGTAACCCTCGTACTGTTTTCGCTCCTGGCCACACCCCAGTCAACTCCTTCGCCTGCACTAATCGACAAGGCATCGCCAATAGGGTTTCCCTAGCTGCGAACAACCTCCACCTTGGGATCATCATCACCAGGTGACCAGCAAGAGACCACCATGAATCGCCTTGTCCTTGGCCAACCTCATCTTTTTTACCTCGTCCGTTTCCCCTCCCTCCTTGTCCTTCCACTTGACACTTCCCTCTCCTCGTACACCATCCTGTTCAGCACATCCTATTTTTTCCCAGTCTGGTAGGCCTAGGAGGAACTACTGTACTAGGGTCTCAGAAGTCCGTTTCAGATTTAGCAGGTTGCTCTTATCGTGCTAGAAGTTTTTGTGCAGTTAGCTCATCCAGTCCATGGATGACCTAAAGTTTAGCTGAACGTAGGTTCGTAGCTATCAGCGGGAACGAGGAGGACGACCTGACCCTAGTTCAGGGCCCTGCTCTGTGGGCCCTGGACGTAGAATTAGTTTAGGACTTGCGCCTAGCAACCAGAAAGTGGACAGGCGATAGAGTTCGTTTCATACGACCGTAGCTTAGGTTTGAACGACCCTTGCAAGCTTCGGGCATGGAGCCCAGAATTGCGAACAAGTATAGGTTAGGGAGAAAAATCGGTAGCGGATCTTTCGGCGAGATCTACCTCGGTGAGCTTCTGTTCAGCCGTCAGCTGTCCTCATCACGTCGCCATTTTCCTCGTTCAAGCCTCGTGTCGTTCTCGGTCTTAAGTTTTCCATCCCTCCTCTGCCGTCACCTCGTCCCTACTTCTGTGGTCAACAGGAACGAACGTTCAGACCAATGAAGAAGTCGGCATAAAGCTGGTAACCACTTAGCAATCCATAGTTTCCGACTTCACTTCGTAGTATTTGTTTTCTCTGTCGCGCTGACGGCTGGATTCCGTGGCTATTTTTCGTGAAGGAATCGACCAAGACGAAGCATCCCCAGCTACTCTACGAGTCGAAGCTGTACAGGATTCTTCAAGGAGGAAGTGCGTGTTCCCCAAACCCATAATTTCCGGCCTCTCGTATATTTTCCATGTCTCTCTTTTCGGCGACGCTATGCGGATACTGCTTAAATTTATAGACCGGCGCCTGTATTTCATTGTTGACGTGTGGATAGCACGTTTCGTGCATTTGTCTCTCCTTCTTTTCGCGTTCGCTCGATGCTGCTATCGCAGCCGGCATCCCGAACATCCGGTGGTTCGGCGTGGAGGGGGACTACAATGTCATGGTCATCGACCTGCTCGGGCCCAGTCTCGAGGACCTCTTTAATTTCTGCGCCAGGAAGTTCTCGCTCAAGACCGTGCTCATGCTCGCGGATCAGCTGGTGGGTGTTTAGGTGACCTGAGTCAACCCGAGCAGTCGCCAGAAGTATTTGCTTGGACCATTCTCATTCTCGCGAATCAATTGCCGGGTGTTTTTCACGTCGTCGAGTATATCAATGATAGTCGGAGTGACTCTCGACGGGTAGTTGGGATAGTGGCCAGAATTCCTGAAACTGACCTTTGTACCTACAATAGCGAGCAGCTGACCGCTCGTCTGGTAGCGGTCCAGTAATCACGGACAGCCGGGTACGGGTAGTTGGAGAGTGACGCGGCGGAGTGGAAGCATGCCTGGTGGTTCGCGGAGAATCCCAAGATTGCGCGAACGAACGGAGTACGACAGGGCGCATATCGTCATCGTTTGTCGAACTTTGGCACTCTCTCGATGTTTCGCGATGCTCGAAGCGGGCGGAGTGGAGACGAGGGGAGGGGATAGGACAGGATGGGTTGAAAGTGGGTGAGATCAATGTTACTGCAGAAGAGACTGGAGTATGTGCACTCGTAGGGCTTCCTGCACCGCGACATGAAGGCGGATAGTTGTAACAGCTCGAATTCCGTCTGAGTTGAACAGTTTGACCCCCGCTGGTTCTCTATTCCTTCAGATCAATCGAGTGGAGTACGTGCACTCGAAGAGCTTCCTGCATCGCGACATCAAGCCGGACAATTTCCTCATGGGGCTGGGCAGGCGCGCCAACCAGGTGTACATCATTGACTTCGGGCTCGCTAAGAAGTACCGCGACCCCACCACGCACCAGCACATCCCCTACAGGTGCGTCCGTGTGTCCGCGAGTCTAGTATGCGTCGTTACGTCCTCACTACATCCTTCCGCGGGATTTTTGCATCCTTTTTGGGAGAGATTCGTTGCGTCCTCTCTGCCTCCACTCTGTCTCGCGCTCGCGCCCCAATCCCCTTACACTTTCCCTCCTCCTTCCGAATTCGTCTCCCCTTGCTTGCGGTTCGCCAGATCCTCTTCCCCCACCCATCGCATCCCCCCTCCCACCCCCCACCTTCCCCCCCTCCCGGTGCCCTGCCCCTGCATCTTTTTCTCTATCCACGCTAACCCGCGCTCGTCTCATGTTGGTTTGCTTCGCGTGTGCTCTCCCGCTTCCTCTCCCCGCTTGGTCTCTCCCCTCCTCCCGTTCTTGGCCTCGTTCTCCTCTCCTCCCGCTCTTGGCCGCGTTCGCTTGGTGTGCGTGCGTGGTGTGCCTGGTCTGGTGCCGTGGTGCAGAGAGAACAAGAACCTGACGGGCACGGCTCGTTACGCCAGCATCAACACACACCTTGGCATCGGTATGTGCCTGACGCCCCTCGGCCCTGCTCTACCCTCACCCCCCGTCCGCCCCGCCCCGCCCCCCTCGCCCCTCGCCGTGGTTCTCCTCTCATCCTCGACCCTGGTCTCTTACGCTCGTCACCATGCGAAATAACACACTGTTCTTGCACGCTCATGTCCCCGGGTCTGTGCTCGTATGAACGTTGTGGGCAGAGCAAAGCCGGAGGGACGACCTGGAGTCCTTGGGCTACGTGCTCATGTACTTTCTGCGAGGAAGGTGCGCGTCTGGCTGTTCGATTGCCTGAGAAACCAGGGCCCGTTTTTTACTAGGGTTATGCTTTCCGCTAGTGCCTTCCTTTTGCAAGGATCCTCCTTTCTGCATCATGCTAAGATGCTTCCTTCGGGTATATGGTTCACTGCTGGGTTGTTTTGGAGTGTGTTTGTATGAGGTAGCTCTTTCTGTGGGACGGCTGTTTACTGAGGCACGTGTTTGTTTGTGTGTTGTGTTGTGCAGCTTGCCATGGCAGGGTCTAAAGGCGGGTACCAAGAAGCAGAAGTACGAGAAGATTAGCGAGAAGAAAATGTCTACTCCCATTGAGGTGTGTTGCTGCGTCAATTCCCATATTATGATACGTTGAGTCATGACTACTTCAGTTGACCCGCGTGGCGCATATCCCTCCGTTCCGCCACCATTGTCCCCGTCCCCCAGGTGCTCTGCAAGGGCTACCCCACGGAGCTCGCGTCCTACTTCCACTACTGCCACCCTTCCTTCCTGAAAAGCTGTCGTTTCGCTCCCCCTTGGCTGCCACCTCTCCACCCGCACCCCGCCACCAGGTGCTCTGCAAGGGCTACCCCACGGAGCTCGCGTCCTACTTCCACTACTGCCGCTCATTTTTCCTGAAAACTTGTCGGTCCGCTCCCTCTTGGCTGCCGCCTCTCCACCCACACCCCGCCTCCAGGTGCTCTGCAAGGGCTATCCCACGGAGCTCGCGTCCTACTTCCACTACTGCCGCTCGCTGCGCTTCGACGACAAGCCCGACTATGCGTACCTCAAACGCCTCTTCCGTGACCTCTTCATTCGCGAAGGTGCGTGAGGGGGCTTCTGAGGCGCCTAAGATAAGGGGTGCGAGGGTGGGAGGGGGGGGGAAGGGGGGGGGTCGGTGGGGTTGATTTGACAGGCCCGACTATGCATACCTCAAACGCCTCTTCCGCGACCTCTTCATTCGCGAAGTTGCGTGTACGGTGGGGGATTTAGGCGTCAGTTCGCTTGAGGCATTGCCCGTGTCGGACCGTCCATTTGTTACTGCTTGCCAAACCCACCCAGCCCCACCATACCATCACCCCACACCATCCCGCCATGCCATCACACACCGCACCCCACCGTACCATAACCCGCCCTACCCTGCCCTGCCATCCCCCCCCCTCACCGCGCCATCACCCGCCCCACCAGGCTTCCAGTTCGACTACGTGTTTGACTGGACCATTCTCAAGTACCAGCAGTCGCAGGCCTCTGTCGCCCCGACCCGCATGATGGTACGCACTCCTCTTCATCCATCTTTGCTTCCTTTCTCAACTCTAAGCTCTGATATGCTCCAAGCTCTCTCCGGCCAACTTGACTTGTCTCTGGCTGGGTGATTCCAGCCAGCATTTTTGTATGAAGGGAGTGTATGCGCTCTGTCTTACGTGGCTTCCCCACATGCTACAAACATTCATTTCACGTTTTTCTCGGTGTGCTTTTTCCTGTTCGTCTGTTGGGCCTACGTGCGTGTGTTTGGGGCTGTGTGTATGTGTGTGGGAGGAAGGGGGGGGGGGGGGGGGGGGGGGGGGGGGGGGGTTGTGAGGGGGATGTGTGTGTGCATGCATGCTTGTATGAAAATGCTCGGTTTGGGTGTTCGCTTGTTCGTGTGTGCTCGCCTGTGCAGGGTGCAAATGCGGCAGCAGCAGCGCCATCACCCGCTGCCAATGCACCAGGTCTGATTTAGCTTCAGGCTTGGACACCTCCTCTCACTTCTCTTATTTGGTTTACGTCATTTACTTCCCGAACTGCTTTCCCTTGTCCCACCACTCCCTCCCCTCCCGCTGACCCCGTCCTCCCCCCCTCCCCCCCCCTCCTTTCCTCCCTCTTTCCACCCACATGTCTCTCTTTTGCTTGAATCCCACTGATCCTCCAAATGATCCTCACTACTCGCTTCCATCACACCCTCTCCCGTCCATCTTCCGTCACATCAATCCCACATCTAGATTCACGTACATTCATCAGTCCAGCTCAGAGCATTCACCTTTCATCTTGTTAAAAAACCACTCACTTTCATCTCCACCCCCCCCTCCCCCCCCCTTCCCCCGCCTCCCCCTTTCCACCCTCCCCCGCTCATCCGCCCCACCAGACGCGGACTTGGCTCGTCGCAGGTCCCCCATGGAGAGCCCGCGGCACCGAAGCCCCATGCCGCATGCTGAAGAGGAGGTGAGGGGTTGGGTAGCGGGTTGATAGGCTAAAGTGTGAAGGGTATGGCTTGTACGTAGGTCCCCCATGGAGAGCCCGCGGCACCGAAGCCCCATACCCCTCGCAGACGAAGAGGTGAGGGGGATTGGGTAGCGGGTTGATAGGCTCACGTGAAGCACTGCGTCCATACAGGCGCGGCCGAGCGCCATGCGTTCAGGGCGATTGGAAAAGCACCGGGTAAGGGGGCGGGTCAGGGGGGGAGGGGGGGGGGAGTCGGGGGGCGGGTCGGGGGGCATGCAGAGTCTCACATGAAGAGCCGTATAGGGTACTGCTGTCAATGTGAGTTCTCGCCTGTGTGGACTCACCTCCGCTCTCCCCTTTTCCTGTACCATGCATATGGGCGGCTGGACAGGCAGCAGATCAGCGGCGCGCAGAGCCCTACACGAAGCTGATTTGATGTTCATCGCATGGGCCTTCACCACTCCTGCTCTCTGCCACCTCCCCCCTCCTTCCCCTCCCCCACAGGCCGATGCGGAGCGCCATGCATACGGGCGGACGGGAAGCGGATCAGGGGCGCAGAGCCCCTTGTGCTGTTGATGCTGTCTGTTAACTCACGTACTCCCTCCTGCGATTGCTTCTGCTCTCCCCCTTTCCCCCGCCCCCCATAGGCGGAGGCGGAGCGCCATGCATACGGGCGGACGGGCAGCGGGTCAGGGGCGCGCAGAGCACCTGCTGCTGGCGGGATGGCGCCCGCGCAGGCTGCAGCGGGGGCAGGGGGCGTGCGGGGGAGCACACCGGACGCGCTGGATAGCAAGCGAGGGCTCGGACTCACTAATGCGCTGTCAGGGATTCGCTCAGGGTCACGCGTTCGCACTGGTGAGCTGGAATTGGTTGGTGCTTGGTGGTGGTGCTTGATGGTGGTGCTTCGTGATGGGAGTATGTGGTGATTGAGTTTCCATTCCACCCTAACGGTCTTGTGGAAAGTGGCTCCGGGCCACGGATTTGCAGTTTTGAGCGATGTTGCTGGTTTACCTGCCCTCTATGTCAGCTCGCGAGTTTGATGAATTCATAGCAGGAATGTGGCTTCATTAACCTCCCCCCTTCCCATTTTCCCCCACACCCTCTCCCTGCTCTGCCTCCTCTTCCGCCTTTATTCTCTCCCCACCACACCACCCAATGGACAATCCTCTTCCCCCCTCCTGGTGCGGAGCAGGCCAGGGAAGCGGGCATGTGTGGCAGTGGTAGGTAGGATTGCACTTGCCTGCTTATGCAATGCGGAGGGGTGCAGTGCAGGCGATATTGGTGCCTGCATAGGGCGGTGCTTGCTAGTTCCTCCACACCCCAATTTGTGGATAACAAGGCACAATGCTGGAGAGTGCAAGGAGCTGGTGTTGAGAGCAGTGGGTGGAGAGGAGCAGCGGAGACACGCCGCGAGGGTATGGGTGGAGATATGGAGTGCAACATATGGCGGGCATGGTGAATGGAGAGTGTGGAGGGGGGCCGACCAAGGGAGGGAAGGGGGGGGAGGGAAGTTGGCGGGCAGGGGAAGACGATCCGCAAGACTTTGAAGTGCGACAAGTGCTGCTGGCTGCTGGCGTGTGGGTGCAGAGCAGATCACGTGGGACAGGGAGGGAGGAGGGAAGAGCTTGGAGTGGTGGGTCATGGGGGCAGTGGATGCAAGCTGCAAGAACCATGGCGTGTGGAGGAGCGGCTTTCAGAGGGGGTATTGGGGTAAGCTGCTCGCTGTGTGCTCCCGCCTGGTCACATAGGGCTGATGGGGAGGGCTTTCACAAGGGCGAGGAGGAAGAAGGGCTGTGATGAGGGCTAGGAGGAAGGGGTGGAAGGAGGAACGGGGAATGGGGGTGATGTGGAAAGCAGCTGCTTGTCTCTGCTTCTAACTGCATAGGTAACAGTTTCATGATGGAAGGGGCTTGGATGAGGGTGAGGAGGAAGGGAGGTGGAGGGGGGGACAGGGTCAGGCAATCAGAGCATTTGACTATCATGAACAGGGAATGACTAGTCAGCTGAAGGATGATGGGGATGACTTGGCTCGGCTGGCACATACATATTCAGGGTGCATGAGCCGACATGCTTCGGGAGACGAGCTACACCAGTTACTCCGATCATCTAATGCACATTACAGATGCACTAGTTTTCATGTGCTGCTGTCCTCAGATAGCGCTGCAGCTGTTTGGTGTACAAGTGAGGCCTGGTAAGGCAGAGTGGAACGTTGAGAGGAATGTGGTGTGGTGTGGATGAATACACCTGGTGACCTGCATGATCACCTCCTGCTTCCTGTGCTATAATTGCTGTCGGATGAGGGCCTTCGGACAGCCTCGCCTGCTTGTCGGTCATCACCGCACTGCCCCCAAGGGGTACTATTCTTCTGATTGGCCAAGTTCAGGGGCTTATGTACTGTACTCTCTCCGGTGGCCCGTACAGGCTATTTCCTTTTCTTTTTTCTTTTGCTTCATTGCTTGTCACAATTATCCTGCTCATGCTAGGATATGAAGTCGCATGATGAGGAGGATTCTATACAGTGGCCCTGTCAAGGCTTTCTGGTGGTTGAGGATAGCATTTGTGACATTTGTGGTGACTGGGTGGCCCATCCTATATTTTGTTTTTGTGAAAAGGTTTATACCGGTACCGTAAGGCAATTGTTGTGTACTGACTGACTGAGTGAGCGAGCCTCAGGATTCTTTACATGTGCAGGGACTTCTCAGCCTACCTATCGTCAGGCACACACCAACCACCACCATAGGTAACAGACCTTGGTGGAAGTTGTAGGTGTCATTTCTGGTTCAACTAGACCACCCACTGTAAAGATGATTGTAGGCATCAATGCTGCTGAATGCTACACTTGTCCAAACAGAACCAGACCAGAAAAAAGGAGCAGTACGGTACGTTAAAGCCCGGAGTCAGCATGGTAATTTATCAAGTTATGTGGGTTTGAAATAGTGTTGGCGAAACCTTGAAAACAAGAATTTCGGCAAAGTCAGTGTAGCGAGAAAAATATCGATTGACGAGGGGGAAAGGAGTCTCGCCTGTTGGGCTGAAATGCCCTAGGATCTTTGTAGAGTTAAAGTCTGAGTAGGATTGTAATAGCGGAAGCGTTTGAATGAAAAGTCCTTGAACCACCTTGCGCTAGTATGTGAGGGCAAAGTGAGTTGATTAAAACAAGCAAATACAAGGCTTTATATAAGAGTACAAGGAATACGAATAGATATAATTAAACTGTTTTGCTGTTGCGATTCGATACAGTGCGACTCGGGCAACTGCTCAATGTCGAGTCAGTTGTGTGTCCTTGCTGTCGCGCTGTATTTGTCAAGTCAAAGGTCGCTGACTTTTGACCTTCGCGTAACCTCCAGGCGGTTACCCTAACCTCCGAGGGTTGACTCGCGATGCTTCGATTTGGACTGCTTCGCTTGTGTCCTAAGTTTTGACACGACAGAGGCGCTTTAAGACTTATTGTTCCCAACACTCCCCTTCGCTTCTGGAGTGTCGCTAATGGTGACGTGGCCTTGTCCAGTCAGCAGCATGCAGTACTCGAACTTTTGTTTTCCGATTTTCTTGGTCAAGTAATCGGCTGCCATCTCGGACGTGGGAACAGTAGGATAATTCGAGTTTCCCTTTCTCGATCTCGTCTTTCACGAAGAAGTATCGCAGAGCGATATGCTTCGTTCTGTTCGCGAATCCGCTTTTGTTGGCGATGCGAATTGCAGATTGGTTGTCGCAGAATAGGGTGAAGTTGGGTAACTCGGCTAACTTTGCTTCTTCCAGCAGCTCGTGAAGGTAGAGTCCTTCCTTGGTGGCTGAGCAGAGGGCGATAATATTCTGCTTCAGCTGAAGAGAGAGCGATTAGTTCCTGCTTGCTCGACTGCCAGGAGATAGGTCCGATAGGCTCGAGACGATAGACGTAGCCAGTGCGAGAGCGGCTATTGTCGGAATCGCCGGCATGATCGGCATCGACAGTAGCCGATTAGTTTCGTGGTCGTAGTTTCGTTTTTGTAGTAAGTCAGGCCGATCGTCGGAGTGCTCACGAAGTAGTGTAGTGCGTGATCGAGCTCCGCCAGGTGCTCTGCTTCGGGTTTCTTGAGGTAGGTAGCGAGTTGGCTTGCAGAGTAGGATAGATCCGGGCGGCAGGTGACGGCTGCGAAGAGGAGGCAGCCCAGTTTCCTCTAGGTAATCACGTATTCCGGCAGCTTTGAGTGGAGCGGAATTTCCTTTGTTACTTCCTGCCGTGTAGCGGTATGGCGTGGCGATAGCGGTAGGTGTGAGCGAGAAGCGCTTGGCGATAGTGTCGGCGTATTTCTCGGCGCTTAAGTAGATAGCATTTTCTTCTTCGCGGATGTTGAGCCCGAGGTACTGGGTGACGGTAGAAGAAACCGTGAGCGTGAGGTCCTTCTGTAGCTCCCCTTCGAACCAGGTGGTGATGTCGTCGGTGGAGCCGATGTAGAGTAGATCGTCGACGTAGACGATGAGTAGGATGTAATCGGCGTCTTTAGTGAATCGATACATTCATTGGTCGTGCGGCAGTTGGCGGAATCCGATGCGAGTGAGTCGGGTGTGTAGGTGCTGTTGCCACAGCCGCGGGGCTTGATTGATTCCGTAGAGCGATTTCAGTAGCTGGCAGACCTGATTGGGTTTTCCGTGGGTACCGTGTGGGAGTTCGACGAAGATTTCGGCGTCGACGGGTGCGTAGAGAAATGCGTTGGCGACATCGATTTGTCGCAGTTTCTTCTTCTTCAAGGCGGCAACGGCAAGAAGAATTCGAAGAGAGGTATGTCGACTAACTGGGGCGAATGTCTCGGTGAAGTCTCGTCCTTGCTCTTGGTCGAATCCACGCACGACCCAGCGTGCTTTGAACTTCTCGATTGTGCCGTCTGCTTTCGTTTTGATGCGGAAGACCCATTTCCCGGTGAGAATGGTCTTGTTCCTTGCCACGCTTGCGGGAACGACCTTCCAAGTGTTGCGTTCCTCCAGTGCCTTTAACTCTCTGTCCATGGCTTCGCGCCATTTCTCCCTGTGTTCCCCCCCCAGAGCCTGCTGAACCGTCGCATGCTCCTTAGGAAGTGCGTTGCCGTGGACTGCGGTGACGAGGCCGAGGATTTGCAGTCCAGTCTGTAAGTATCGGGGGAGTGTTGGATCCTCGGGATAAGCTGCTTCGTCTCCCGCTTCTGGATCGGGTATGAAATTTGGCCCAATCCGTTATGCTTCGTTTGTGTTGACTGTCGCAGGTGTTACGTAACCGTTGTCGGCGAAGTGATAGAAGACTTCGGCGTTGACACTGTCGCGAGGATTGTCTTCGTCCATGGGCACGTCGACGGAGCAGTACGGGAGAGGTCCGGTTTCTTCCGATGCGTTGTCGACGTTCTGTTCATCCCAGTCTGCTTCGTCCGCTGCTGAGGCAAAGGCTCGGTCACCACGAAAACCACCTGTGGGGTCCTAATTCTCGTGCAAGTTGGCGAGGTACGTTTGAAAGGTGAGTCGCTCGTAGAAGATCACATCACGTGCTGCTACTGTTTCCTTTGAGTGGACATCGAAAATTTTCCACGCGTTGTAATTTTTCTCGATGCCGAGGTGTAGTCCCCACTGTGCCCGTTGTGAAAATCTTCCCGCTCGTGCTTCTGGGGGTCGGTACTGCACCATGCATCCGAAAACTCGTAACATTCTTGTGCTGCCCTGCTTTCCTGTCCACAGCAGATGCGGTGATGCGTTGTTCGGGAGTGACGACGACGACAACAAGTTGTGCAGCATGACAGCATGGTCCATTGCTGCAGGCCACTGGTGGTTGGGTAGCCGCATGCCACGTAGCAGTTTGCGCATGCTGTTCTGCAGAGTCCTGTTCATTCTTTCTGCAACACCTTGCTGCTGATGGGCGTAGGGAAGGGAGAGGAGTTGCTTGATTCCCCTTTCCGCCAGGTACTGCTTGAAGCGCTGAGAGGTGTATTCTCCTCCTCCGTCTGACTGGAAGCTTTTCAGCTCTGTTCCTAACTCCCTCTCTGCTACCGGTAGCCAAGCGGCAAACGCTGCGAGTGCCATGTCGCGGCTGGGTAGGTTTCGATGTCAGACGTATCGAGTGGCGGCGTCGATGAAGGTTATCATGTAATTGTAGGTGACTTGTCCTGGTTCTCGATTGAAGAGGATATCGCTGTATACTTTCTCGAGTGGTGCGTATGCAGGTGCGCTCGGGTTGTGGTGAGAAGAAAACGGTCGATGGGGTAAGTCGGCTTCGGGGCAGATGAGGCAAGTTCCTTCGTGCCCGTTGAAGTTCTCTGCCGTCGGGTAGTAGTAGCGAATCTTTGTCGAGGACTCATGCTCGTATTGTGTTATTTAATACTGTGTTGCTTGGATGTCCTGTGCGTGCGTGCCAGATGTCTTCAGGAGCGCGATGTCCGGGTGAGAGTTGATACGCGTCGGAGTTGGAGTAGAAGCTGGCGACGACATTGGCGCTTCTGTGGACTTCTCGTTGAGTCGGGTTCAGTTGCTGGGCGGGTGTTGGTGGTGCTTCGTGGACTGATGACTGGTGTCGTTGGTCCGTGCTGCTGCCGATGATGTTTCTGCTGCTGTCGATGTTGTCTCTGCTGCTGCCGATGTTGTCTCTGCTGCTGCCGATGTTGTCTCTGCTGCTGTCGATGTTGTCTCTGCTACTGCCGTTTGTTGAATTGTTGCTAACGCTCATGTTCGTTCTGCTTCAGGGATGGTGTGCGAGTACTAGAAACCTCCCGGGCTGAAGTCGGGATTGAGATCCGGGGGATGTGTCCAATCGGCGAAGTTGACGATGGCGTCGCTATCTGCAGTGCCAAGGTCGGGGACGA